GTGTGGTTCCAGCAGGATGGGGCTACAGCTCACACAGCCCGAATGTCACTCAATGTTTTGAAACGCATGATCCCAGACTCTGAGGGGTGATTTACAGTGGCCTGCAAGGTCACCTGATTTGAGCATTTGCAATTTCTTTCTTTGGGGAAATCTAAAAAAAGGGGTTCAGAAGTCACCCTCACATCCTACCACAGCTAAGGGAACAGATTATTGCAGCAAAAGTTATGGCCATACCTTGCCATATGTGTGAACATGCTGTAGGAAACTTCTGAGAACAACTCCAACAGTGTGATGCAGCTAACAAACCCCATCTTCCTGATATTGTTTTCAAAACATAATTATTTTAAATGGTATGTCATGCTAATCTTGAGGAAAATAAACTTACTTCTTTATGTACCTCCATTACTCTTTTATTTTGCCTCAAAACTGTTCAATCAGTTCTGCCCCACCCTGTATAAGCTAGCTAACACATTTAAATTGTATATTGTAATAAATATATAACAAATAGTCAAATAGTTAAAGACTACTTATAGCCTTATAAGAATTAGCTAAGCTGCTAGCTATGTACAATGCCCGACTAAAATATGCAAACTTGATGCCTCTGTACCAAAAACATTCAATTTATTGGAACCTAATACACACTAAAGGCAACAAATTTATATACCAATTTCTCATTCATAGTACATTTATACTAAACCACAAATAACAATACCTCAATATAAATTAAAGACTGCCACTCAATATAATTAAATATATGAAAAAATTAAAAAAATCAAAAAAATCAAAAAATCATGATTTTTTTATAAAAAAATCAAGTGATTTAATCACATGATTAAATCATTTTGATTTAATCATTGCCAACCCTGTTTGAGACTTTTAAATACGTCTGTGAATATATTAGGAATCCTTTAAGTATACTTGTATTTGCTGATTTCAAGTGGTAAATAAATTAATAGATGATTAAGTTGAGAAATGCATTTAGACACATGAAAACTAATATCGTCACAACTTGAATTGGACACACACAGATCGTTCCAAGCTGTATACAAAAATTAAAATTTGCTTAATTAAAAGCCTAATGGTTGTTAATTAAAAGCGTAATTAAGTAGTGTACAATATTCATTAGTGTTCTAATTCAAAGCCGTGTTGTATTCCAATACAGCTCACACAGCAAACGGAATTCGAACACGTGGATGACGGCATTACGTATCAGTAGAATTTGAAGCGCGGACAAAATACGCCTCACCACGTGCCGAATATTGCCACACACACAGTGATGGAATATAGGGATTTGGTAGGTTTCCATTCTAAAGGCTTTTAAATAAATATGGCAACATTTTGTGATGTTTTGTTGTTGCTGATATGTAGTGCGGTGTTTTGAGAGTCACATAAAGCAAACAGAACTTGAGTAACGCATACAGTTATTTTTTATAGTTTTTCATTTCTCGATGCGTCCTTAATGTGACGGAATATACCGCGTTTACCCCTATTTGCAAGGGCTATTGTATGGCATCTCTGAAAAAATTCCACATGCTATTTTAAAGGTGCCAGATGCATAAAGAAACCTCCTGAGCTAAACCTGGGAACCGGGTTGGGTTATAAGGGACACTTGAAATAAAGCTTAATTTTAAAATGTTTGAAGCATGCAGAGTGTACTCAATACTATTTATCCTTTACTAAAAGTACTCATGATGTAGATGTAAAACAAATGACATTTTCTGTAATTTTTACTTGTTTTTCCTTTATTGATATGATATTACCATATCCATACATTACTGTAGTATTGATGTGATATTACTGTATCCATGAACAGGCCATTGAGTATTGACAACAACCTTGTCCACTGCAAGCTTCATATCACTGCAGCCATATTGCACTTTTCTGTATCTGTAATTTTACAGGAAGGCTTGTAATTTCACTCCATTTTAACTGGGTCAAGTGAATTTACAAAAAAAAAAAAAATTGTAAAAGCATACCTGAAACAGAAAGGAATATTCTAGTGACAACCATCATATTTTTGGAGAGATAAATTACGGTATAGTTTAGGTTGATTACTTTTCATTTTATGTTGCCTGGTGCACAATTCTATCTATGACATTCTCTGCACAATTTTGTAATGACCAATGATGCATTAATTTTTCATCATGTAAATATTTTTTGCTGAGCAAGGCAAATAAAATAAAATATTTTTTTTTGTTAATTGATTTTTTCATTAACTGGAGCCTTTGCTAATTGAGGTTCTTTTGTAAATGCATTTTTAAGGATGTCCCTTATTACCCTGGGGGTTTAATTCACACTTTTTTTGGAGATTTTTTAGAGGTAGTATATGTCTGATTTCTCAACTTACTTTATGCTACATAGATAGTAAAAATGTTGAACTTTATGCCATTATTTTTAGTTTTTTAATATTTTGATTTGTTTAGCTGCTACAACATTTCTACAAAATGTGGGACGACTGTCCCCATTTACCCCACCCATCCCTTGTTACCCCATTTGATGGTATATTTTCTTTGATGTCTGACACCAAATACCTCAAAGTTCCATTAATACACCTTCATTAATTATAATTGATATTTATAAAAACTGCTTAAGGAAACCCGTCAAAATCTAGTTTCTATATTTAGGGAAGGATTGTCTCCAAACTTGGTACACATATGTAGAACAGAATTCTAAGACTTTTTTGTTCGTGTGAATTTTTCGAAAAAATAAAAGAAAAATGTGAAATTCATAGAAAACGGCCAAAAAGGGGGTACTTCAGAAAAATATCTCCTCCTACAAATATCGTGCTACAATATCGAGACACGTATCATTCAATGCATAAAGACCATATCTAGTGATTGTCAGGCCACTTTTTTGATTTTGATTTTTCTTGGTTCTCTTTTTATTATGATTTTTCTGAAAAATTTCGACTGTTCAAAAATTACCCCTATTTCCCGCCTTTTTTCAAAATATTTTCAAACCTATAATGAAATCAAAAAAATGACCCGACAATCTCTAGATAATATTAACTGCAAATTGAATGGTGTATGTCTCATTGCTGTAGCTTCAAAACTCTAGGAGGAGATAGGTTTTCCGTGACAATAACTGTGAATGTTCACTAGGACACGACAAAGTTGCGTGAGCATGCGAATACCCACTAAATGTAACAAGGATACAAAACTAAACATTGCTGGAGCTCAATTCCACTCGAGGATGCTGGGAGCAACTGCTAGCGCACCTCCCCGTGCAATGCCAGGAGGTGCACTGACTCCAGCTGACCACAACACTCTCTTTTGTATGCTCTTGGCTGGTATTTACTGCCTATGTTAAAGTTAAAGAACCCTCCTCCCCCTTCTCCCCTTTGGCATCTGTAGTAAAGGCAGGTATCAACGTACAGAGATGGTTTTGGTACCATTGAATGCGTAAGAAAAGCAGCTTTAAGATGAGTATAGTAACTGGAGAATGTCATAATTGGCCGCTTTACGTCAGACGATTTACTTTATAATTCCTGGCCGTGTAATTACTCCCTTGACTTTACTGAAGGGGCTGGACACCAGTGTTGAATTCCAGGGGGTAATATATTAACTGGTAAACATAGCAAATTGGAAAGCAGGACCCAAAAATCTGGAACATCCAGCACACTTCCACTTTCAGTCCATCATCATCACTGATGAGTCTCTGCAAGATGCCACAGCTGTTTCATAGAAAAAAACAGTGCTTGCATCATCACAGTAACAAGAATCCAATCAACGCTTGAACGCGTCCAACGTAACAGTCACAAGAATCCAATCAACGCTTGAACGCGTCCAACGTACTGTCACAGGGATCCAATCATCGCTAGAACGTGTGCAACATCACAGCCACTGGAATCCAATCAGCGATAGAAAGCTAGAAGGGACCGCCTCACATGCACACAATGTTAACACACTGATGCTAACTTAATGCGTAATGCTACAATTCTTATTTCAAGAGCGTAATACAATAGTGTAGTTATGTCATTATTGATGGAAATCGCAAAGAATAACATCTTCACTATGTACACTCACTCACAAATACATGAAAAACTGCCTATGATTCAATCCACAAATACAAAACTGACCACCGATGCAATCAGCTGAGACATACAATCACCTTTCGTTGTGATCAGCCGAACGAAAAAACTTAAACAAAGAAGGTAGCAGGGATACCAACTGCACCAGCAAGCAATGTGAAACCGACATCAATATAGTCATGTGAAAAAATGAAAGATACAAATTCATCTATATTAAAAATTTATCAGTAACTAACATTCAACAGAAATCAGAATGGTTTAATAACCTTCGTAAATATTATACATGCATGCAGAATCAATCGTGTGCAACAGTAGCGGGAATCTAATGATGGTTAGTGGTTAGTAATCGGCGGGTGAGGTAACTACAGAACATTACTGCAGATAAAGCTCCCGATTTTCGAGACGATAATTGAGTGAAAACTTTACGTGATATATCGTGAGCCTTCTAAAGTTTTAATAATTAAGAAATCACAAGGTTCACAGAATCTAAAGGTTTGAATGCTAAATTTTTGACTTTCGAGTACTCTATTGACTATTGAGTCTATTCTAGTCAGTCAACTGTGAAGTGTCATGTTGTTTGTTGTGCATTGCCTTTTCTTCGAGAAGTTTCTCCAACTGCCGATGAGTTTCTCCTCAATTTGAAAGCTGAGGTAACAAATAGGTGCCATAAATGTTTTTTTATTTTTAATTTGAAACTATTATGTTGGGAGTAAATAGTATGTCCTTCTGTAGATCCATCTCTCTTGCTCATGTGTGAGTGACGCGCGCAATTAACAATCTTGCATGGGACCTTCTCTGTGTTGCCTGACTTGACGTTCATATGATCATAGCTACCGTAACCAAAGCCAATTTCTGACGGCCTGCAAACCTGTTTCTAGTTGCCTGGAACGTTTTTTTTTTTCAAGGCAGAACGCTTTTTTTATGTGAACCACGAATTTTAGAATTCCAGCCTGCTGGACACCCGCCCCCCTTTTGGGATCTGTAGTGAATGCATAAATCAACGTACAGAGATGGTTTTTGTACCGTTGGATAGGTCAGAATGTATGCTTTAAGATGAGACTAAAAACCTGGAATAGCCAAAATCCAAAATTTTGACGTGTATGGTCCCCTTAAAAATATTGATGAAAATGCTGATATCTTGCCATAAACAATTCTCTTTCAGGTGAATTCTTAATTTCTTGTTAACATTTATTTGTATTGTCTATCTATTAACTTAAGCAGATTTTTCTTCAGGGTTGGCGATTTTTTTGATTTTTTTAAAAAAATCAAAAAAATAAAAAATCAATGATTTTTTTTATTTTTTCATGATTTTTTTGATTTTTTTGATATTTTTGATTTTTTCAGCTTTTTTGTCTTTTTGAAATTTTATTTCTTATGTTGCAATTAGCTTACTAACAATTACAGTATTTTCTTATATAATAGTGGACTTTTAGTGGTTATTCTGAAATAAAAAAATATATTTAGGGATTTAAGTCATACAAGAAATTGAAACAAAATCGGTATATTCAGTTTATTCTCTCAAGTTATCAACCATCCTCTTTCCTTTATTAATAAAATACAAATTACAAAACAATAAAAATAGATAGGTATTACACTCTTGCCTAAAGCAATACTGACTAATAACATTAGCAATTAGTCACCTATTCTTAAAGGTTGAAAAAATCAACTTATGTTATGAGAAAACCTGACACTGTTTGAAATAAATATGTACACAATAAAAGTCACAATTCAAACATTTTATTACCATTTACTGCATTTAATTATTTTATATATAATTTTATAATTGTAATTGTTTTGTTTCTAGTTATAGGTAAATTCACATATTTAAAGATTGAAATTTAATATTTTAATAAGAATACTCATATTAGGGTGGAAAAGTCAAGTGGCCTTGATAGTCAAGTGGTCAATACAATCTCAACCAACCCTTCTTATATAAGCTAGGTAGCACGTGTAAATTGTATAATGTAATTAATTAATAATATATAACAAATAGTTAGTTAAAGACTACTTATAGCCTTATAAGAATTAGCTAAGCTGCTAGCTATGTACAATGTATTGCAACACTTGATGCCTCTGTACCAAAAACATAGGTACAATCCATTGAAACGTAATACACACTAAAGGCAACAGGTTTATATTCCAAATGTGTCATTGCACATTTATACTAAACTAAGAATAACAATACCTCAAAATAAATCAAAGACTGCCACTCAATATATTTAAATATGTAAAAAAATCAAAAAAATAAAAAAAATCATGATTTTTTTATAAAAAAATCAAGTGATTTAATCACGTGATTTAATCATTTTGATTTAATCATTGCCAACCCTGTTTTTCTTTAATAATTTAATGCTGAAAATGCTCGTTTCACAAACTGGGAATAAAAAATTGGGAATAATGGGCAGAATTTTCCAAAAATTGCTGATGAAAATGATTGTTTGACCTGTGATTTTCAGAAGTTGTTTATAGACATAAATTTTTTTTCTTGTTTTTCACTGAATAAATTGGGCCACAAGTCAACTGCTGCAAGGAATTAGGTAATCATGTTGCCAAGATCCACTGTTTTTTGTGTTTCCAGTGTTTCAGTTTTCAATACCTTTTTATATCTATGCATGTAGTTATGGCCAGAAATCTTCAAAGTTTTGGTAATTATAGCACCAAATCATGTCAACTGGCGTGACTTCGGCCACCGGGGATGACTTTGGCCAACACTACAACAGAAACAAATGGCAGCAAAACAAAATAAGTCATCCCAGTCACTTTGGGCAATGCTTATTATTTTGTTTTGCTGCCATTGGTTTCTGTTGTAGTGATGGCTGAAGTCACTCCCGGTGGCCAAAGTCATGCCTGTTAACGGTACTATTGAGGATTTGGTGCTATAATTACCAAAACTTTGGAGATTTCTGGCCATAACTACGTGCATAGATATAAAAAGGTATTGAAAAATGAATAAGGTGGCAAGGTTTTCTGAAAACATAGATCTTGATGCTGATGGTTTGCTGCAGATCTTAAAATTTTTACCCACTCTCTGCACTCTGGAAGTGCTATAGAAAAGGGTGAAATTTATACGTAACAAATTCTTGCCACATTCATGGGTGGCTTCTGCCCAATTTTCCAGTTTGGTGATCAATTTCTTCTGTTCCTGTAGGAGTGGAATATGTTTACTTTCTAAGTCACAACTAGAGCTTTCCTCACATGTTCAATGTTAAATAATTGTCATTGAAAATGATGCTTATGAGCTGAGAAATATTAGTAATAAGTGGGAAAATTTCAATCTTGTGTCCCTTTTACATTTGCCTAGGTTCATTTGTAAAATTAAGAAAAATGGCACATTCATGCTCACTTCTTTTGAAAATCACCTATTAAATAAGTGATTTTCTCATTCATTTTATGTAAAATTTCTGGAAAATACTATGATCATAAAATTTTTCTGTTTGAAATCTTTGGAGAAACTTTTTAAGACATGTATTATTTGTATTAGAGGGTAGCATCATCAACCATCACCAATAGCAACTTTAGACAAAATAACAAAAATATCCTGGCATATTACAGCATAGTCTTTGTATTTTTCACATTCTGGAAAGATTTGTAATGCAGCAAAGAATTTGCATGTTGTCATACATCACTCAAAGTAAATATGTATATGTATTATTCACATTCATGTATATTATATATGTCTCCAGTAGACCTCTTGTTAGTATGTAATATATGCTAATTGATGAGGCACAAAATTTTGCTGAAATATTGGAAGTAGTCTTTGCTGGAGATTATTTATGGATATATTGATCTTACCCAATGTTAAGCCTATGTATAGTTGATTTTCTGGACTATAATTGATTTTTGTGTTTTCAATGCAATTTCTATGTTTTGCTTGTGCAGCAGCCTCAAATAATTCTCCTGAAGGAAGGAACAGACACAAGCCAGGGTAAAGGGCAGCTTGTGAGCAACATCAATGCTTGTTCTGTTGTTGTTGATGCCATCAGGACCACACTTGGTCCTAGGGGCATGGACAAGCTCATTGTCAATGCTAAGGTGTGTTGATATAACAAGTGAAATGAGTTCACGCCTAGTATCTTCAATATTATTTTGTGTTAAATTTATGAGATTGTATTCTTTCTGTTGATAGGAGTCACCCATGAATTTCTGTCATGCCATGTTGTTGTTAGACTTTTAGTATAAATTTATATTATTTTATGTATGATGTATATATATGTTTTTGTTTTGTGTTATATATCTATTTATTTAAAAGTATTTGATTGCTCCAATTCAGTGCTTTGACATTCTTTTCTGGTTAATGTTCTAATGAAATATTTATTAATGCATTATTAATGTATGGTTACTTTTGCAGAGTGAGGCCACCATCAGTAATGATGGTGCCACAATATTGAAAGAGATGAACATCATCCATCCAGCAGCTAAAACACTTGTGGATATTGCCAAATCACAAGATTCTGAAGTCAGTTTATGTTCATTTATTTGTGCTAGAAGGCATTTTTTAACCTGCCTATGTATAGGTACTCATCTGTAGAAAATTGCTTAAATGACAAGTTTAAGTCCTTTTGTATCATGTCTGTATTCTTTTATGATTGCAGATGCTTTAAAGTTTGATATATATAATTAATTTTAATTTGTGGAGTTTTCAAACAATTTAATATTTATAAAAAATTATGTACCATTAAGATTTCCTAGTGAAATATTTGTGTAATTCTAAGTACCTGAACTCCACAATTTATCAGCCATTTGATAGAATTTGTCTGGTGTGATCAGGTAGGTGATGGCACCACAACAGTTGTGCTGTTGGCTGGGGAGCTGCTGCGTCAGTGTAAGTCTTTCATTGAAGACGGCGTCCACCCCCACGCCATCATTGCAGCCTTCAGACGTGCCACCGACGAAGCTATTAAGCTCATCAACTCCATTGCTGTCAAGGTGCAGTCCAGTTCACTAGGTCTATCCAGCTGCATGAGGCATGCAGTTACCAGTTAGAACAGTCGGGCCCTTGATGCATGATAATATAAATATCATTAGATTATTTTGCTGCATAAATATAATTAAAATTTCAAGCAATTGTGAAAAGGAGGAAAGTTAGTCAGGAATTTTAAGAATAAGATGATTTATATTGGGTTATTTTCATGCGTAAAGTAGTAGTTGCACAGAGCCTGTGATATTAATATTCTTTAGATTTTACATTAGAACTTGTACAATGTTAAATCTTTCAATGTCCCTTCATTATGTACCTAACAATCTGTTCTCTGTCATCTTCAATAATCTTTTTCTTTGATTAATATTGCCTATTTTTGTGAAACAATATCTATTGCATGAAATGTATTTCCAATCTGAACCATGGCTCACCTTTATCTTGTTTCATTTCTGTGTGTCATTACATGCTGCAGGGATTTGTACAATTTCACCTCTTCATTGAAACCTCATTTAACTGGGAAAGATATTTTGTCTTTTAGGATTTCTTTGCTTGTTACAATTTTTTTTCTCGCTGCAAATGAATTTCTACACCAGTTGAGTGTGAGTTCTCTATCATTATTTTCTTTTACTGCTAATTTTGGCTTCTTGAGTCTTTTTAACCTTGCATAACTATAGGTGAACAAGGACAACCCTGCGGAGCTGCGCTCCCTGCTGGAGCGATGTGCCGCGACGTCCCTCAACAGTAAACTCATCCATCAACAGAAGGACATGTTCTCCAAAATGGTGGTTGATGCTGTCATGTCCCTGGACTCGTTACTCCCTTTGGACATGATTGGCATCAAGAAGGTTGCTGGAGGTGCACTTGAGGTATTTATTCTATGAGATACTGAATTGAGATCTGAAACTTGATCCTTAGTTGCTAAATTGATGTTGGAATTAAAATCACCTAACTCGCAGCTTCTGTTGCTTTATTTGACTTGCTTAGTAAGATTAATTTTTTGCCTGTGGAATAAGTTTGGCTGCAAAAGGTTTTTTTAGTTTTTGAAAACGAAAAGAAGAAGAGGGAAAAAATAACAAAAACTGACACATATACATTTTTGTTCAACAAAACAACTTGTATTAGACTTAATGTTCCGCATTTTATGTTGGCATATGTTATCATCATTCCTTTTCTGAATTTTCTCATCAGGATTCTTTCCTGGTTGACGGCGTTGCCTTCCACAAGTCTTTCTCTTATGCTGGGTTTGAGATGCAACCCAAAAAGTACAAGAACCCCAAAATTGCCATGCTCAATATTGAGCTCGAGTTGAAGGCTGAGCGAGATAATGCCGAGATTCGAGTCGACAATGTCGAGGTTTGGATTTATAGAAAAGTTTGTGTATGGAATGTAAATTGGATAAATGCATTAGGTATGTTTTTGGCTGTGCCAATTGATCGGTTGAAACTTATTGTGTGAAATTTTTTTCTGTAGAGATGTTTAGTTTTTAAAAGGAAAATGGTTTTTACCTCGCATAAAAAAACTCTCGAGTTACTTGTTAGAGTGTTAGAGGCTAATGACTTAATTTTAACGTGCATTTGACTGTATATTAATGTATCATCTTTTTTCACCAGGAGTACCAGCGCATCGTGGATACTGAGTGGAAGATTCTTTATGATAAGCTAGATCTCATTCACAAATCTGGGGCTAAAGTTGTGCTCTCAAAACTGCCTATTGGTGATGTTGCTACACAATATTTTGCTGACAGGTAAGGGAGCTGCAGACCTCGGCATTAACTCATACCTGAAGGATTGATTCCGAGCCCAAATGGCGCAGATTTTCCTGTAGTGATTGTAAAATAAATCTGAATATCATTTATTATTCATTATAACCTGCTTAGTTAAATGTATTCATTAAGCATTGGTAGTAAATTTCTGTTCTCCTGGCTGTTAAGTATATCGCATGGGAATTATCCAAATCAAGAAGATCATAAATAAGCAATTGTTTATCACTCATCATTATGAGAACTGTGTTCGTGTTTTACATGCAATTTGTTACCTTCACCAGAGACATGTTCTGTGCCGGCCGTGTAGAAATGTCAGATTTGAAGCGCACCATGAAGGCCTGTGGTGGTGCCATCATGACTACAGCGCACGACCTCGATGACAAGACACTCGGCACCTGTGAACAATTTCTTGAGAAACAGGTCGGCAGCAACAGGTTAGTTGAGCATACTGGTCGGCATCAGATCATTTACAGGTCTTATGTCTTTATTTGCGTATCTTTACAAGTTAGCAGCCTTAGGTCAGCCGTTTCTAATAACACAAGTATCACTTAAGTTTACGTTGTTCATTGCTGATTTTTTCCCTATTAATTTAGCGTAGTACGTTCTGGTGACGGAGAAAAATTGGTTAAATTTCTATCTCAGGCAATGTGCGGGGCTCTGAAAAATTATTGTATAAAAGTGATGTCAGGACGATTTTGGCATACAAGTAAACTGTATAAAAAATTAATTTTTTAGGCAAATGCGTTCGTGCTCGGAGAAATATTGCAAACCACAATATGTTCAGTAATTTCAGTTTTTAAGACAAAGTGCTACTGAAATTTTCTAACGTAAGAGGCATATAATAATATCTGCTCAGTTACTGCTATCTTCATGTTGCAGATACAACTTGTTCACTGGATGCCCGGGCGCAAAAACCTGCACGCTGGTGTTGCGTGGTGGGTCCTCTCAGTTCCTGGAGGAGACCGAGCGTTCCCTTCATGACGCCATCATGATCGTGCGCCGTGCCCTCAAGCATGACTCGGTTGTTGCAGGTAAAATTACTTCCGTCTATTACTTCCTCCAATCTCAGCCCATAATGTCAGATAGCTATGGACCTTAGTAGTTCACGGCAATATTTTTAGTATATCGATAATTTAGTCTTGCGTGGGAACACTCAAACTTTGAATACACTACTAGTATTGAATAAATTAGAATGCTGCCTACACTCCTATTTTAGCAATTTTTATCGAGCAGTGTTGATATATTTAGCATGTCTGCTCTTAGCGCACCTGAATACAAATTATACTTACCTTTTTGTTTCATTTGCTTGTATTATATTTAAATTCTGCTCATGAATATCTTGATATTTACATTCATATCTACACAGTCCTGTAATTTGCATCTATGATTGTAAGCATGAGTTGTGAGGGCCAAATGTTAAGGTTTACGTAGTTATAGAATAAATATGAAGCGTGCGACGAATTGAGTTGGTGAGCAACTGATGTGTGGGGGCAGGGGGCGGTGCCATCGAGCTGGAGATCAGCAAGCACCTGCGTGACATGAGCGTCAAGGAGGCAGGGCGTCAGCAGCTGTTCCTGGCCGCCTACGCCAAGGCCCTTGAGATCATCCCTAGGCAGCTGTGCGACAACGCCGGCTTCGACTCCACGAATATCCTCAACAAACTCCGGGCCAGGCATGCGGACGGTGAGACCCCAACGCGGCTGGCGGTGTTGTTTTGTGTGCTTTTATTTCAATTGTACATGACAGATAATGAGCTTGAAGTGCCACTGAATTTCAAGGCTCTATATATATTGGAGCTGATGATCCTCGTCATCGTTTTCTGAGTGGATTGAGTATTGAATAGGACATTTGTAGTATTGAGTTACATATGTTTATCAGTCCTAGTGTTGTAAAAATGTTCCCAACGTGAAGTTTTCTTGTGGAACGTAGTTGATGTTTAAATTATAATCAAACTAACCATTTTCCAGGTATCATTATTATTTATAGCTGTACAAGCTAGCTAAAACGCTAGTATTATATTAATCTTGATAAGAGTGGTTTTCTATCGAGTAAATTACCGTTTTACGTATTTAAGATCATGTAACTTATACTGAAATATGATATATTTACTGTTTGTAAACAATGTATTGCATTAATTTTTTCAGCGGGTGGCCGGTGGTACGGCGTTGACATCCTCAGCGAAGACGTGGCTGACAACATGGCCGCCTGTGTGTGGGAGCCTGCGCTCGTCAAGCTCAACGCGTTGACGGCCGCGAGCGAGGCCGCTTGTCTCATACTCTCGGTCGACGAGACGGTCAAGAGCTCACGAGCAGCGCAAGCCGAGTCTGCCCCCATGATGGGTAACCCCATGATGGGCGGTCACTAGGTTTATTAGCCTCCCTACTTACCAAGATGAGATGTCGACTGCCTTTTCTGAATTAAAAATAAGAGAAAACTATCTCACTACGGAATTATTAGGCACACCATTTAATTCCTCGAACTAGAATTTTCATGTGACTGATCTTCCGTTTAGGTACTTTCATTACTTTTTTACGTGTAATTGCTACTAACCCTCAAATTCATTAATAATTTCTTTTCAATGATTGTCACGATTAATGTTTATTTGGTTACGAAGCTCGTAGTATGCACTAATTCTCATTAAAAGTTTAACATAATCATATTTTTTTCCCTACTCCTTCTGTTGGTTGATGTCAGTTGTAACTCGTTTTACCTGACCTAACGGATTGATGCAATATTTGATGTTTCAAGGCATCTTGTTCAGAAATCAGTAAACCTTCGAAATTTGTTACAAATGTAGGTGTGCACTTAAAGACTTGAAATATTTTGGATGCCTTGAATTTGTAAATACAAGATCTAACTTCGGAAAATTTGAGACCGCTGTATATCACGTTGAATTGAGAAAAAATTATATTCGGTCATTTTTTCGGTCTATATTACATTCGGTCATTTTTTTCGTTTGGTCTCCATCGTATATGTTTATTGGAACATCTAGAGTATATAATTATCATTTAGCCAACTCAATTTAGTAGAAATTAGATTTCAGGAGCCCCGCCTATCATTATATTGTCATTTGACGGAATATGTTCACGTGTTACGCTATATTAAGGACTCGTGCCTAATGACAATTGAAATGTAAAGGTTGGCCTATCAGCGGTTGATTCAATAATTGGCATCTTCTAGGTAGTGCTTCGAAAGGTTTTAACATTTTTATGACAATATACCAAACAACAAAAACAACTTTTAAAAATCGTTTGATAAACAGACCTCTCAATTATTTCTATAGTGTAATTTGGGATGAGGATAATATTTTGACGAGTAAATTCATGTTATTTCACATTTCATGTTTTCAATCACTTAGTAGGTAACAATAAATAATTATTCAAACACACTACTTGATAAGTAGGATAAGGAAACGAAATTGTAATTTCTGGGGAATTTATAACTTTTTAGGGAATTTTGATGTGTTGGCAGTGCCAGGACAAGTATGAAACAAGTGACGTTCCTCGTAGTTGTTAGTTGAGCAATGTTAAATACGGCAAACTAGGTATCATCATAGCTATGCCGCATAGACTGCAAGTATTATATTTATTGTGAAACTCTTCTTATTGTTTATCTGTATACGGATGGCCGGCAAGATGCAAGTAAGCAATCATTTGAAATTTGAATTGTTTAGTGTCATTCATTGAAATTTGACAGGGAATCTCAATCAGGGATTTCCGTTTGGCTTGCCAATTAATTGTGGTACCCTCAGGATCAGGTCCAGTTGTGGATCAGTTTATTGTGATTCACTTAAGTCTTTCACAAATTCACATTAACAGTTATATATCTGCCGAATTTTTTGCTTCAAAATTGTAGCAATGCAGCCTCATAGGACTGTAGGAGAATTGACAAATTTTGTGATTTATTTCACAGATTCAGATATCACTTCTTCACAAGTTCACAACTTCAAACGACTCATGCTCATCAGCTCATGGCCCCATGCTAGGCTAGGAGTCACTGCATAGTGGCAAAGCAGAAAGTGATATAGACTCTCCATAAAGTTCAATTTTAACTCATATAAGTAGACCAGCAAAGTATTATGGATATCAGCATCATCATACATAAAATATTAGGGTAAACGCACCATATTCCAATATCGTAGGTAATTCCGACATCTAAACTTTTTCCTTTATAATAAGCTTTGTCTTAGTTCCACGCATGCATTATGCATACTTAGATGGTTGAAATAGGGATGTCATACTTTTGCGCGCAATATTTCCGCAAAACACTAGGTCTGCCGGGAAAATGTTAAGATCTGCACTGTAGAGCAAAAGTCCACATCACCCAGTGAGATGTGAGAACATCGAAAAACATGTGAAAATTGATAGTTGATTTTGCTCTACCAAATAGTAATAAACTGTTTGTGTAGAAAGTATAGTATGGTTTGAAACTTTTAAATAAGTCTGTGAATATATTAGGAATCCTTTAAGTATACTTGTATTTGCTGATTTTATGTGGTAAATAAATTAATAGATGATTGATTTAAGAGACAGTTGTAGACACATAGAAACTAATTCAACACAGGGTGTTGGAATTACAAATAAGGGGTTGAAGCGCTGTTGGAATTAGTCTCACAATATGCCTCATTTGCATGGTTGCAGAATCTGCACACCAATCAATATTACAGATATTTCATTGTTACAGCCCCTTGCCAAATGTACCCCAACTGTAGGATACCATAATAAAAACTTTCTCACATTGTTGGCAGGGTAATTGAGGCTACTTTGCAGCACACCTTCTTGTCCCTCTTATTTGTGTTATATTGTTTTTATGTTTTTCTTTTCAAGTGTTTAGCTATTTTGTTGATTAAACTAAAATCATTCATATTATTTTCACTTCTGGGCTTGATCACTAACTGGTGTTCCAAATAATATTGCTAACTATTTTGAAGTGTGACTGTTAAGAAAAGGGTTCTGATGTCCTGTGTTTGCTGGATAAATTGCTGCCCCATGCTCCCTATAAACTCTCAAGTAATTCACTGTTGGAAGCTTCCTAAGATCTCCCTCGATAGTCAATGCTCATTGGTCCTTGTGAATTTTACTGCTGATATCTTTATCACAAAACCCAAATTACTAATATTAATTTAAATTTAAATGAATGTTCAATTGCACCATGTATACAACACAATATATCTTGTAGAGATTATTTCTTAAAGCATGAGTGAAGAGCTTAATGTGGCAACCTGACAAAAATTTTGAACTACCTATGAACTGGACAAAAAAGCCTGTGAATCTGGCTAATTTCATCCAATCAAAAGGCCCTTTCCCAATTTCTTTAATAAAAAAATATAACTCAATACTCACTGCAGTGAGTGACAGAGAGCGCATTTTCTCGTCAACAAAAACTTGAGGTCACAGACAGACGGACGGACAGATGAACAGACGGACATGGCAAGCACAATAGTGCATTTTTTCCATAAATGAGAAAATGCGCTAAAAATGAGAAAAAAACTATTTCACTTGCAATTTCCAAAAATTGGTCATGAAATGATTGTTTTTACCTGAAATGTTATGAAAAATTCTATCCATATCCTGGTATGGCAAGCACTGATCTTTGGAAACTGCCAAAATGAAGACAAGTTACAAAATTGTCAAAATATAGTGGCATGTTATACAAAGCAGCATAAGGATAAAGTTTTTGCATTTGATTTAAGGTATGCTCTGGTGTAGTAATTCTAGATTGAAGTTTTCCTACTCACAAATGAAATATTGCAGCTCCAAAGTGACCAATTTTGAATACATTTAAAATCTTGCAGCCCAATTGTACAGTTTTGGATTACAATCAGATTGGAGATATTTTATCTAGAGGGAAAAATCTTGCAGTTCCAAAAAAAAGATAGTCAAGCTCTAGTCAAGGCTCCAGTGTTAGATACCTATATTTCAGGCAGATGTGGTTACATGACTGCTCTCAAATAAAACTCTTTGTTTGGGATTGCTGCCACAACCTTGTTAATTAAATTGCAAAATATGAAGTGTAACCCTACACAAAGTCATTGTTCACTGATACTAACTACAGTTTTTATCCCTTTCTTTAGCCATCAGGCTTTCACTTTCTGCAGCTTCTTCTCTTATTCTGAAAATATTTTCTGAAAATATTTATTTCTTGTAATAAATAATCATAGCCATATAGGATCCACCAACCAAACCACAATCATCACAATCTATTCATCACCCATTCTCTGATATTCCATGCCATCATCCTTAACCCTGCCCTCATTCAGTATATACATGCATATATCTTCCTCAGCATTTCCTGTCTTTCATTCTTTGTGACATCATGCCATACAATCTGGTGTTCTACAGTCTTTTACAATATCATGAAATATAATGCACTCATCTTCTCTCCTCTCAATCCATTTTTTGTAGTGAAGTCATACTTTGTACACCTGATTCATATGTGACAATTTTCCCTACCTCTGATGCCATCATGCTCTGAAATCTCATTTTCCATGATGTGATGATGTTATTTGTGTGAGCCTATGGGCACCTCAGGGAAGTCAAGCAATTAACCTCTTCTAAGGAATGTAATGATAACGCCAATAAATGATTATTGTGGAGGCCCTAAATGCTGAATTACAGTTTTTGAACTGAAAACTGAATTACAGTTTTAAATGCTTTTAGGATTATCAAATCAACAAGGTCTGCATACATTCACAAAAGAACTCAGAAGTGAGATTTGCATTAAGAGAATTATATAAAATATAAAAAGTACTAATAATGGGGAGAATGCTTTAAAACTGTGAATGCTTTAAAACATAAATGAAATTAATAGAATAATAATGTACACAGAGTTGTTAAGAACTTAGAGTGCAGACATTCACCTCTATGCAATCATTGCATGCTGAAAAAAAACAAGGGACTTTGTGAAATGTAATCTACCATTTAAGTGAGACTTAACCTATTCAGCAAGAGGCTGAAAATAACCAGCCCAGGTGGGTAGGTGGGCAGCTCCCTGGCTAGGTTTCTGGTTAATTTTTCACTTGCATTTTTAAGTAGCCTACTCTTTGTATTGGCACTCTTTACTCTCTAGCATCATCAAGCATTTGTTCCTTGGCCCAGGCCTACCAGGCTCTCAGTGTGCTCCTGTCTCAGGCAAGCTCACACTTGGGCAGCAATTATTGTTTATTATTGTTTTTCATGTTTCATGTTGTTTCATATTTTTCATTTCTTGTGCCTTGCCTCTGTGCGACTCATGCTGCGTTTTTAGCCATGTTTCACACGGCTAATTTCTCTGAAAGTTATGTGGATAAATATTCAAATAACGAGTAAATTTTTGTTTAGAGATATTTGAATCATCAATTTACTTAACTCATTATATGGAGCTGAATTTCTTTAACAATCTTGTTGCTGCTGTGAAGTGACTGAAAATGAATTCAAGTATATTTATATTCTGCCTAAATCGATCAAATTGATTTATGTTCGACTGTCAAATTCTACTAAATGCACTGGTAAAGAATAAAAACATTTAGGAATTACAAAACATCACTTGACTTTTGTTTGCTTTAAAATTTTGAATAACTACTCCATTGGATCATTATATTACAAAGCACCTTCCAGATACCATGCATGGTCCAATTCGTGGCAATAATGCTATCCACGATGCCGTTGTTGCCAATA